CTAGATATATACATATCTAGATATCTAGATAGATATCTAGATAGATATCTAGATAGATATCTATCTATCTACCTATCCATCTATCTATCCATCCATCCATCCATGTATCTATATCCTATCTATATCCTATCTATATCCTAGCTATATCCTAGCTATATCCTATCTATATATTATCTATATCCTATCTATATCCTATCTAGCTATATCTCTATCCTATCCTATCCTGTCCTATCCATCTATCTATCTATTTGCTGCTCCTGTATGTAATCAATTCCTATCTGGCTATCTAACCCTCTGGCTATCTATTTATATATCTATCTATCTATCTGTCTATCTGTCTATCTGTCTATCTGTCTATCTGTCTATCTATCTATCTATCTATCAATCATGCGATCGATCTACCTATCTATCGCATCTAATCCCATTTGGCTCTTTCCCTCTCCTTTTCTCTCTCTCTCTCTCTCGCTATCTAAGCCTACCTATGTATCTATCTAATCTGTCTAATCCTATCTAATTGTACCTAAGCGCGCCTAATCATATCTAATCGTGTTTAATCGTATCAAAGCGTATCTAATCGCATCTAATCGTAATTAATCGTTTCTAATCGTATCTCGTCGTATCTAATCGTATCCAATCTTGTCTATTCCTATTTTATAAAATCTATATAATATTATCATATCTTATCTATTTCTGATCTCGTTTCGTCTTGTCTCGTCTCATCTCGTCTCATCTATCGATCCGTCCATCTACCTAGTCAATCAATCAGTTAAATCTATCAATCTATCAATTTATCCATCATCTATCAATCTATCCATCCATCCGTCTATCTTTATATGCAATTCACTCCGGGGCGGATGTTTGCCCAAAGTTTCATTGATTTTTTTGTCATTTTAGTTGGTTGAGGCTTGATTGGTTTGCTCATTTTGGTGACGGTTGCTTAGGGTTTAATTGTCGCAGTTTGTTTCAAATATTTATATAGTATTGGGATGTATTGGGTTTATTTATGGTTGATTTGGGGTCAGTTCAGGGTTTATTTGGGGTGTGGTTAATTTGGGATTCAATGAGGGTGTTACGGTTTGTTGTGAGGTTTTTAGTTTGAAGCTTTAAAGACAGCAAATTACGGAGAAGATGTGTGAGACATGGTTCAAAACGTCGTTTTGGCAGCGGCTCAGGCAAGCGCAAAAATGCAGTGAGACGTGGGCAATATCACTATTTTGATCTATTTTGTGCGTTCGCAGTTTTAGAGAAAACGCGACGAAGCAACACAGCAGATTGCAGTCCCGAATGGAATTCCGTCGATTTCGGGCAAATGTCAGCCCTATAGCGATGCAATTACAAGTAAGTATATACAGTATATGTATATAGCATACACATATGACTCATATGACCTTCTGTAACCATCAACCATGAGGTGCTTTGTACTCTGCACATGCCATCCATTGGTGTTTTATAATTCTGTTGTGGTGGTGCTACAGTAGTGTCTGGTGTTGTCGTGTGACGTCTGGCGGATAAAGACTCCACTGGACCCAAAGCTTCCAAACACCTGAGATCCACCACAACTGACGGTCATAAACATCCCATGCACGACAAGGATTCACTTTGATTTACTTTGATATCCACATTTTTTTTCCTATTTGAGTGTGCTTCTCTGGATTAAGTCATCTTCCTTGTGAAGTTCTTTCATGTTGATCCTTTCGCGAGAATGTGTCTGCCGCCTCTGGTGATTGCTGAAAACGCAGCAACCTTAGCACTGAACGATACTGAACGGGTTGGTGCACGCAAAGTTCAAACCGGAGTTGCAAAGCATTGCTTCTCCAAAAAGAACAAGAACTTCCATGATCCCAGGGACGTGCGGCTTAAACGGCCTTCTATGGAGAAATTCTGAAATCCTCGTTGGTACCATCAATCATGTTCTCTGGGGAAAATCGGAAGAGTCAGTTTGATGTACCATTTGCATATGTTGACTTATTGGTGGTTCAAAAGTGAGAATCACGCCTTTTTTTTTGACGACCAGTGAGAATTCGGGACAAAATCATACAAAATCATACAAGATCAATCCATCAACCGGAATGAACATCGACAAATAAACAAATTAGAACATAAGAAATAAACACACGTGTATATATATACTGGTTGGTGGTTTTAACCATCTTGAAAAATATTAGTCAATGGGAAGGATTATCCCATATATGTCATGGACAATAAAACATGTTTGAAACCACCAACCAGTATATGTATATATATGGTTGTTTCCCTAGAGCAACTGGTTGTTTCACTGGGGAAAGCACCAGTCACTGTGCGCTTGTGTCTTGGAGAAGTCATGGTGAAGCCCATGGATATGCCTGCAAGTGGCTCATCCGACATCCCAGAGCTGTTGACATGCATAGATATGTATGTGTATATGTACAGTATATATAGTATATGTATAGTATATGTATATATATATAGATCACACATATATATATATAAATCAAATATAAATATATAAATATAGTATATATAAATCAAATATATGTATATATACTGTATATATGATATAAACATTGTGTATAATATATATATATATATATATATTGTATTACATTGTGATATTGTATTATAGCGTACTTTATCATATTTTGATTATATAATATGATCTATACAGATCTATACAAACATAATCACACATAAACATCATAAAACACTTTGCCGTGCACTGTTAGATCCAAGCACTGGGAGTTATCTCCACAATGAAGAGCTGCGTTCCACAAACATGTCAGGCAAACCCAAGGACTTGAGTCGCAGCATCTGCCATGATCTAAGTGTTGCAAAGCAGCTGCTATTTTAGAAGACTACCTTCTACAGTACTTCAGCGTGTGTTTTTACCAAGCAGTTACAATCCAAATTCATGTGCCGAATTTCACCTTGCCATTGCATGGTCCTCCTCACAGCAAAAGCTCTTGCATGTGCATTTTCCATCATTTTCAGTGTGGCTTGGATCAACAGCAGAATTGGCAGCTCAAACAACTTTCGTCTGCCCAGTTTCACTTTTGAGACAGCTCGTTCTGATTTACCTGCCACCATTTTGCTGCGGTGTTCTTCATCATGTCTACTTTTTGGCTTGAAGCCAAACATTGGCGATTTGAGCTTCGGTTTGACAAAGGATTTTGTGCAAAGACTCAACATTGGAAAACCCTCTGTCTTGCAAGAAGAGGAGTTAAGAGGTATGTGGGGGAAAATTGTTCCTCTGTTCAAATGTATAATCTCATCACAAAATAACGATGAAGATTCTTAGAGCACCATATTCTGTGTGGGTTCGTCACCGCTTGAAAGAAGGCAAAATGGAATCCGAGGATCAATGAACTTATTTCAGTACGCATCACTACGCATTCCATTGTTTCCTTAAGTCCTCTCAAGATTCTCAAGAACAGCATGAAAATGTCTGGCCTCCAGCCATTTGATGTACACAAACACACACACACAATGTAAATGCTAGTGTGTGGAATCTGTCTCAAGTCGATCAATCAAATCATTGGTTGACGCGTGGAAACGTCACCAGCCGCACTTTTTAGGTCACAGTGCCAGAATTGAGAGCACAAGGCCAGTCAACGACCCGAAAGACCTTCAGCAGCACAAGGATATATGACAATTGGTGGCCAGTCCGCTAGTATTTAAGTACCGTGAAGATGTCAAGTGCATGTCATTTATGTCATGTCTGTTGGATTCATCATATTCATCAAACTTTCACAAGGAAACTGTGTAATTTATGTAAATTTATGTCGCTTACATTGATTTAGGATGATTCAGATACACCCTCGGAAACTGCGTCATAGGGTGGATTTGGGCTTGTATACACGTAGGGTACCCTGGAATCATGGTTTGCCATGATCTCTCTGTTGAAAATTGCCATTTCGGGGTATACCCAATTTTCAGACTTCGAAATGTTAGAACAAACTACGAAAAGTTGGCTCCCTCCAGCGGCATCGAAGAAACCGCTAACCAAGGCACAAGGTGAAGTTGCGGCAAGAACCGACCAAATAGCCGTGGCCATCTGTCACTGGTTGGTGTTTGCGAACAAACCAGGAGCAAAAGTCTCACGCTGAGATAAACAGACTTCATTAGGTGCAAAGTTGTCCGTTGACAATTGTAGGGCATAGATGCAAAACTCATGTAAATACTGACAGTGGACATATATATATATATAATATAATATCACGCATAGATACATAGTATATTTCAACATATTTACAGTACATAATGTTTCATTGTATATCAATAGACCTGTGGGATGTGGGGGAAGCTGCGCCTATTAGTCGCTGCAAAACATCAGGGTTTTTTCTGGCTATAGGTCTTGGCAACCCTTTCTGGAGCCGGAAACTCACAACACCCTGCAGCGAACTTGCCAGTTCTGAAGCAGCTGGAAATTGTAGGGGCTCACCATTGACCAATGCCATCAGCAAGAGTCGCACCGCAACACAGCAGGTCTTTTGATGCTTGTCTCCAGGACAAGGATGGACAAGGCATCTACCGCCAGATCATCTTGTTTCGACAAGGTTCTGGCCACGCATTAGCTCGATATGTCAACATGACTCCCACCCACAACCTTCTCCGCTGGATTTCAAACAGCATCATACCATGTCATTGTCATAATACCCACTCCAGGTTGTTTGATCCGGAACATGGCAATCTGCTGTCGAAGTTCCGCTAGATTCTCAAGAAATTGATCTGAAATACGGGTCTGAAAATGGGGGTAGAACCCCAGTTCTAGCCATTTGGGAAAACTGATGATAAATCCTGGGATTTGGGGGTACCCCATTTTCAGGCAAACCCGTGGTTCTGTAGAAAGCCCCCAGGCTACATCTCCAACGGATGGCGATCTCTGAATCATCCAAGCAGGATGGAACATGAGAACTATTTGAAAGCTAGCTGCAGCTAGCTGCATATCTCAAGACTCCCAATTTATGCGGGCTAGGTTGAAGTTAAATCATGTTAAATCCTCATTGCTGGCTGGGTTTTGGAGCTCATCCCTCACTGGATGCGCACATGATCACACCTGCCGTTCATCCCCGGCTGGTGAAGGCTGGTGAGGGGGACCTATGTGTTACAAATTTGAATTGAATTTACTTGGATCTTTCATAAGAGGAAAATCATCTATGTCACAGGATGTCACAGGTGTGCGTTGTCGCTAGTTCCGGGAAATCCTCCACACTGAAGTCTTCTGCTTGACGTAGATAATTGGTTGAATGACTTGCCTACTAACAGACTTCACAAAGCTTTCATTTCAACCACCCAAGCGAAAAGTAGAATTCTAAAGTCCAGAGATGTCCAGAGATGTCCAGAGTAATTCCACTGTTCTGCTTGAGGTCCCAAGGTCCCAAGGTCCCAAGGTCCCAACAACCGAACGGTCAACAAATCGCCAGCCCAACGTGCTGCATTGCCGAAGAAACGGCACAACTCCAGCATCTGAATCGTGGCCAAGTAGGTGGGATCACCAGGAACAGGAGGTCCTGCAAAGCCTGCTGCCCTCAGCGACGAAATGGCAAGCTGTTTGACTGAAAACGGTGGAAGATGGTGGAAGGGTCTAAGAGATTCTAAGAGATTCTAAGAGATTCTAAGAGATTCTAAGAGTCTATGACGCACCCCACATTCTCAGTTCCAAAATCCATGAACATATTCCCATGAATTTGGAGGCAAAGAACCAGCTTGGGACCTTTGGTTGATGAAATCCATTGAAATCGACACCATGATCTGAGACCGAAACACTACATGCACCATCCGGTCGAACCAGCTGGATGGCGGAATGTGGTTGATCAGCGCCTGCAATGGTCAGCATGGGACGGGGCCACAACATTTGTGGGCGACACTTATTTGGGTTCGGGTGTCTGAAATTTGGAAAGGGCAGTCATTTGAGAAACGGCAGGATCACCCGAGACAATTCCCACCTGATATGTGGATATGCAGGACAGCACTCATCCACTCTTTTCCTAGTACTTAGTACTAGTAGAACCAGCTCTTCAGGATGCTCTTGGTGAAGAACCCTGGCCAAATCAGGGTCTGGTCCCACACTTGTTTTAGCTCACGGAAACCATTGGCAAGTTCCTCAACACCAATCAGCACTTCAAAAGTGGACAGCAACCAACCTGTTTGCTGCAAAACAACCTTGAGAACGAGGTGCGTTGCTTGAGTTGCTTGATGTTGCTTGTTGTACTCGGCAACATCCCCGCAATGGATTATGCTTGAGTTGCTTGGGATGATTCCCAAGGACTTCCGTGCAGCCCCCTTTTTTCGCAGCTGTATTATGCTCAGTCGCCCGGGCAAGCGCAGCTGATTGCGGCGCTTGTGGCGCTTCTGCTGCGGCTGGCAGAGTGAGTTGAGTCATTGAGGTCCCAAAGACTTTCTCACTGACCAGTCACTGACCTTTCTTCTCTTCTGCTTTCTCCTGGTCCTTCTTCATGCCCTTCTTCCTGATGGCCTAGCAATGCACTGCTGCACTGGGCATCACAAAACACACCTTTCAGCCCCCCGAACGCCAGCCGCCTGGTGCTGCCAATCCAGGAACTTCACCGAAACAGCTTCCGGGAGCAAGGCCAGCAACCAAAGCTGCAGGGAATGAGCCCACCAAGGTGAGATCACGGCCTGCAAGGCACCCATTTCGTTGCCGTCTTTATCCACCTAATAGATCCTAATAGGAACTAATGTATCTAGAAAATTGCCCGGAAATATGTTCAAGTTCGAAGCGATCAGGTATGATGGGATGATCAGGGGACCTTGAACAAATAACCAACGGTATCAAACAACCCTCCTCGACTGGATCAGCGATTTCTCCTTAACGCTGGTACGCATGTACGTATGTAAAGGAAAGCAAAGCAAACAAAACAAACCAAAACAAAACTAAAGCAATGCAATGTAATGTATGCATGACATGTATGTATATGCATCATGTATATATATATATATACTTATACATGTATTATGTATATATATATATATATTAATATATTAATATATTAATGTATATATTATGTCTGTCTAGGCCCATGTCTATGTGTATGTCTATGTCTATGTTCATGCACATATATCCATGGATACGTACGGTAACTACATTTAAATATACGGACTTTTATTTTAGACTACCTCCGGAAAGGTTTTCCTTGGCCCGCCCGGCCATTTAAACATACAGAATCCAATTCATTTAAACATACGGTAACTACATTTAAATATACGAACTGGTATTTCATACTACCTCCGGGGCCTCTCGGTCTGGCCCGCCCTCCACATATTTAAATGTCGTTACCGTAACTTAGCACCGAGCATTTTCTGTTTCAACTGAAAAACCGAACGGCTCGGAAATCGGCCCAGCGTTTTCATCATTTTTATGATCAGTCTTTCTTGCTTTCTGCTGAAAACGTGATCATTTTGGTGTCCTTTGGTACTGCAATTCTATTGGGATCAACCAAAAATCTGGATTTTATTGCAGTGGGAATTAAACAATTCAACACCCTAAAATAACGTTACGTTTTTTGGATGGTTTTGCGTTTCGCCACAGCGCCAGCACTTCTTTCTCTTCAGACCAACTTGGCAGTGATGTCGCAGACATCTGCATTCATATGAATGTACCGCCATTGCCAACCCGTAACATATGTCATGATCAATGGACTGTGGCTAGACAGGCTACCTGGCAGCATCTTTTTACATGATTTCCAGCAACTATCTATTGTTCCAGTATGGGCAAGCACTTTGGGCTACCTCGCTGGACAGGACACGCCGTCTTCGTAAATTGGCCTTTGGAGTGGTTCACCCACTGATGCTGAACATTCAACTTCTCTGCCACAGAAGACGTGCCCAACGTAACATGAAGTGCCACCGAAGTACAGTAGATGTGTCCAGCGTAACATGAAGTGTGTCCACCGAAGTACAGAAGACGTCCCTAACGTAACATGAAGTGTCTCTACCGAAGTACAGTAGACGTGTCCAACGTAACATGAAGTGTGTGCACCGAAGTACAGAAGACATCTCCAACGTAACATGAAGTGTGTCCACCGAAGTACAGTAGACGTGTCCAACGTAACATGAAGTGTGTGCACCGAAGTAAGTCGAAGACAACGAAGACACAGGTCGTTATTACAGCCCCCAACCCCCCAATATTACAACGCAAAAAAAACGCAAAAACGCTGGGCCGTTTTTGGGGCCGTAGGCATATACATGTATTATGTATATATACATATGTATATATTATGTCTGTCGATGCCCATGTCTATGTGTATGTCCATATCTATATTCATGCACATATATCCATGCATACTTAACTTAGCACCGAGCATTTTCTGTTTCAACTGCGGAACAGGGCCAACCTCATAGCCAATGTGACGTGCTGCGCACTCCACATAGCTCTGTGGAGAGGGCACCTCCAAAAACCAGGAATGAGCTGATATTGACCACTAAAAATCGGAGGTTTAGAATTGGGTTTACCACATTGACTTAGATAGCCCGAAACCATCTTGGAACCATATGAACAACAACAACAGCAACAACAACCAACAACAACAACGACAACAACGACAACAATGACAACAACGACAACAACAACAACAACAACAACCACCACAACCAACAACCAACAACCAACAACAACAACAACAACAACAACGACAACGACAACGACAACGACAACAACAACAACAACAAAAAATACACATGTACAGATTTCACGCAATTTGGCAGTGAACACATCACTTTCCACATTACTTTCCGGTCGTCATAATTCCATGCACTGCAAACTTCATTCAGACTCTTTTGACATCGTTCCTATTTTACGTATGGATAACACGTGCCCTTTGCTGTCATTTCCATTTTTCCATGCTTCTCTTGATCTCCCGTTTACATGTATACTGCTTCAGTCACAGGTGAGGGGTGTCACTATTGGCATCAAATGCTGGAGGGAGGCTCTAGCAGTGCTCTCTTGTCATCACGCAAAATTCTACATAGGTTGTTATTTAGAACAAGAATGCCACTCATCGGAGATGACACAGACTCATATATACTTATATATGTAAATGTAATATATATATATACATACATATATATATACATATACATATATATATATTATACATAATTATTATATACATATATGGGTCCGGAATTGTTTTTTTTGGTTCCCCGTTTTGTATTTTCAAAAATCCTGTTCTGTCCATTTTCCTTAGGAACTGTTCATGGAACATGGTAGCTTGCAACTAGGGTTCATTTAGGGTTGGTTTTAGAGTTCGGGTTTGTTGAGGATCTATTTAGGGCTGGCTTTGGGATTTATTTGGGCTTCGTTTAAAGTCTATTTAGGGTTAGTTTAGGGTCCATTTAGGGTTGGTTTTTGGGTTTACTTAGGCTTGGTTTAAGATCTATTTAGGATTGGTTTAGGATCAGGGTTGGTTCAGGATCTATTTAAAATTGGTTTAGGGTTTATTTAGGGTTTGGGTTTGGGGGTTTATGCAGGCTTGTTTTAAGATCTATGTAGGGTTGGTTTAAGATCTTTTTAGGGTTGGTTTATTTAGGCTTGGTTCAGGATCTATCTAGAGTTGGTTTAGGACCTATTTAGGGTTGGTTTAAGGTTTGTTTAGGCTTGATTTAGGATCTACTTAGGCATTGTATAAGATCTATTTAGGGTTTGTTTAAGGCTCATTTAGGCTTGGTTCAATATCTATTTGGGGTTGGTTTAGGATCTATTTAGGGTTGGTTTTAAGGTTTATTTAGACTTGGTTTAGGATCCTCTAGAGTTGGTTTGGGACCTATTTGGGGTTGGTTTAATAATTGTTTAGGGTTGGTTTAGGAGCTATTTAGGCATGGTTTAAGGTCTATTTAGGGTTGGTGTGAGGTTTATTTGGTCTTGGTTTAACATCTATTTGGGGTTATTTTAGAATCTATTGAGGGTTGGTTTCAGATTTTATTTAGGTTTGGTTTAGGATCTGTCTAGAGTTGGTGCAGGACCTATTCAGGGTTGGTTTAAGATCTATTTAGGGTTGGTGTGAGGTTCCTCTAGCCTTGGTTTAACATATATTTGGGGTTGGTTTTAGGACCTATTCAGGGCGGGCTCTCGGATTATTTAGGATTAGTTTCAGATTTATTTCGGGAATGTTAGGGTTTACTCAGAGTTGCTTTAGTGTTTTTGGTTTGGTTTGGGTTTTATTTAGGGTTGATTTCGGGTTTATGAACTTTGGTATTATATGATACTTCTTTGGGTTTATTTACAATATGAGAAACAAAAGAAAAGCAGGGGAAAGCTGAGTTGCAGGTAAGCAGAACAGCAGGGAAAAGCAGAAAGCAGAGAAGCAGAGCTGGAAAAGCAGAAAAGCAGGGAAAAGCGGAGAAGCAAAGAGGCAAAGAAACAGAAAAGCAGAAAATCAAAGAAATTCAAAGAAGCAGAGAAGCAAAGAAGCAGAACAGCAGAGAAGCAAAGAAGCAAGAAAACGCAGAAAAGCATGCCAGCAGGGAAAAGCCGAGAAGCAACGAAGCAGGGAAACGCAGAAAAGCTGAAAAGCAAAATAGCTGGGAACCAGAAATCCGAAAAACAATTCCAAATCGGCCAGATATATACATATCTTACAATCCCAAACCAGTTTTTTTCTAGGGTTTGCTCAAATACCCTTGGTTTACACACAAAACCCGAGGTTTTCCAAAACCTCATTGTCTTTTAAGTTTGATTGTTGTTTTGAATTCCATGCTGGACCAAGTCCTGCATGCTGATGCGGTCTTGTTCCTGGCAAAGCTCACCGTTTTTGCATGTCAGACACAGTTGGCCATGAGTTGGCTGGCACAACCACGCTTGCTACCCCATCAAATTTCCAAAAGGTGATATGTTTTCTGCCGATGCCCCTTCACAAATCACGTTCAAACCCTTGAAAATCTGGTGAAATCTCAACCATACAAACCCATACAAAAAGTACGGGTTAGTACGGGTACGGGTTCAGTACGGGTTTGAAAAACCCGAGGTTTTTGCAAAGACCTAGGGTTTTCCCAGAAATACCAGGTTAGTACAGGTTTCCTACGGGTTTAGTACAAGTTGAGTACGGGTTTGGAGCAAACCCAATCTTTTCCCCATCAAAATATGATAAATTAAGATAACATTGGTATATAACTATCTCCTGAACTTGAATGGTGCTGGCTTGTATGGGTTTAGTTACTGTATATTCTTCAATGATCACTCCATTAATTAGTTATCTTCAATCCAAAAACCCAACCATGTTGATATATTGCGCTACATTCCAGTGAGAAAACCCACAAAAGGCTACAAAAATGGAACCCGAACATGATCAAAAGTGGTTTGCCGAGGCCTGAGCAAAGGGCAAGGGAGAAACCTGAGGTTGTCTAACTAAACCCGAGTTTTTCATGATTTCCTGGAATACCCGAGGTTTAAACCCTAAGAAAAAGTCAGGGTTTACAGGTATATAAATATAATGGTATATATATAATATAATATAATATATATATACATTGTGACAAACATGCGAAAGATAGACATGAAACCTCGCCTGGCTGGCATTGCGATGTTCCGGTTGGAACAAATCAAAAAAATGATTTCTGCCAAGAATTACTTATTTTTTGCTTCACATTTCTTTTCAAGTTCGGCAAACTTTAGCAGAATGTCAACCCCAACAAGTCCGGCAACATGGTCGCCATCTTCTCTGCATCCGCGGCACGGTCATGGAAGACTTTCTGATCTTTGCCATTTTAGTGGTAACATACAGCGGCGTTTGGGCTTGAACATCGATGCCCTTGGAAGCCAACTCTGCACCCAAACCCATGGAGAACCTACAGGGAAGTCTTCCAAGCAAGTGACTCCTTGCACACCTTCTGGGCTTTAGATATCAAAATATTTCAAGATTCTTGACGCTAATTAAAATCAATTTCAATCTTCTATCTTTGCTTTGCAAAAAAACAGTTCCAAGACCCTGCAACTCTGCAAATGGGTGTGTCTGAAAATAGTGTACCCCTTTTTACCCAATGGTTTTGCTGATCATTATCCCTATTAAATGGCTATTTCATTGGGAATATACCCTATTTTCAGACAAACCCAAATACTCCGCCAGCATCGCCTCTCGACATAGGCCTTGGCCGCAGAATACTCCGCCAGTAGCGGCGAGGTCGCTCGGCCAGAGCCGCTGCTGGTGTTGACGATGGCGCCACGCCGACGCGAGAGCATGCCGGGGCTGCCACTTTCATCGCCCAGCACGATGCGGCTCCTGAGATGTCGTTGAAAAAAATGGTGAACATGTTGTTGTGACAGAAATTGATATTGAGAATTTAGATATGTACACACTGTGTACATATGTATATACATATATATATATGTATATATATATATATGTGTATGTATGTATGTATGTATGTATGTATGTATGTGTGTCTGTCTGTCTGTCTGTCTGTATGTATGTATGTACGTAGGTATGTATGTATGTATGTATATATATATATATATGTATGTATGTATGTATGTATGTATGTACGTAGGTATGTATGTATGTATGTATATATATATATATGTATGTATGTATGTGTATGTATGTGTATGTATGTGTATGTATGTGTATGTGTATGTATGTATATGTATGTATATGTATGTATATGTATGTATATGTATGTATATGTATGTATATGTATGTATATGTATGTATATGTATGTATATGTATGTATGTATGTATGTATCTATATATATATGTATGTATCTATATATATATGTATGTATGTATGTATGCATGTATATGTACACGTATATATATATATACATATGTAAATATACACACGTATATAACATATGTATAATATGATGAAACAAATTGCAGATGTGTTCAGATGAGAAGGTATGACTTGTATGGGTGTCACTACTTGCATGTTGGGCCATCTTCTTAGTTTTTCCAAGTCACTAGTCACGAGCAACCAAAACCCCGCTAAGGAGGGCGGATTGACATGCGTTCCATACCTCTAAGGATAGGGAATGTTCATGCAACCATTTTCCCAAAGCTATGGATTTGTTCTGCTGCTCGGTTGATGGGGGGTTTTAGATCATGGATCATCCCCATGAAACCAGTGCTCCTGTTGGTTCCAACTCATCCCAGAAATGTTCCCCAGAAACTGGGGAGGCAACCCCCACCAGCTGAACACCAAGCTTCATCCATGTCATTGATGACATATTCACCTCCATGATGTCGGCTACCTCTTGATCTTTCAACTCGTGGAAATACCTCAGGGACTTGAGAGAGTCTAAGAATCATATGCTCCACTCAGGTTTTAGTAACCATGACTTCAATGTACTTCAATATTTATTCTGTTCAAGCCAAAGGCTCCTTCAGGGGAAGCAGCCCAAATCAAGAATCACAACGAAGCTTGCCCCAGTCCCTCAAACAATCCTAGAAAAACACCATCAATCTCGCAAAATCATCAAAAATCATCAAAATTCACTCATCCAGTCCCATCCAGGTGCTTGGTGTAGGGATAGGATAAACCCACATTGTTGATGAGGATACCGACATCCAAGGTGGCCAGCTTTTCCTTCACGGCCTCTCTGGCTGCTGCATCAAAGTTCGAAAAGTCCACCTTGCTGCTTGGAGGTGGAAATTCTTATCCAATTCACCCATGATGAATAGAATTTTGGCCATTTGTTGGACAAGTATGACAAGTATTATTCTGATATATATTCTGATATATATATATAATGTGATCATTAGCATTTATTAGTCAACTGTTGGAGATTTTCAGCTATTACTTCAATACCGCGGGCTAGTCTCATCCGATTCTTGGATCTGTTTTACCATGAAGGAGTGGGGATTATGATTATTATATACTGGTGGTGATGAAACAAAATACTTTGGGATCGATGGAGACTATCGATAGTTGGAATCCAATTAATAATGGGCTCATTGGATTATGATCTACTAGTAATATGAAATAGTCCATAAAAATAGATTATGATAGTCCCAATAGATCTAGATTATAGTTAAATATAGTTAAGATCTATTGGGACTATTGGGAATTCGGTGCAAGCTTGTCAATCTGGACACTACTCTTCGAGTAAAATGATGTTTGATGACATTCAATGGGCGCATACCAAAGGCACTCCGATTCCCACCTTGAGCTGATCGACGGTCACATGGTATTTTCCTTTGAGCTCTTTGGCAGTCTCTGTTAATCTTTCCTCACTCCTGCAAATGGTTTCCAAAGGTGACTTTTTGTCTCCCTCCTAGCCGTTTTAGTGCTGTTAGACACTGATATCTCCATGTTGGTTCTTGGGTGTACCGACAAGTCTCAAGGAGGGCCCATGAGCAACATAGTCAACATATAGAAAGAAAGTTGACTGAAACTAAGGTAGCCCTAAATCCACTGGTCAACATCGTCATGTTCCTATCGTGGCCCTAATATTTTTTAAGGCCATCGTCGGCATCTCCTGGCCACGAGCAGCACGTTCAGTCCCTGGCGTGCCAGTTCCATGGCATAGGCCTTTCCAATGCCATCGGTGGCACCAGTGACCACGGCCCACTGGCCATACTGCTTGAGCTCCTCGTGCCAGGTTGGGTTCAGGCCGGCGACGGAAAGTGAGGAAAGTGAACCCCTAAACTGCCAGAGCTTGAGGATACAATCGAATCTGCACCATCCAAGACATGCATGTGTGTATGTAGACAGTATACAATATAGAGCTATACCAAAATACAAGCACAATGACGAATACTCTCACAAGTGCGCGACACTGCAACCCATCCAGAAGCAAGATAAAACCGGATGCACGCCCCGAATCCCGAGCCTTGCCAGGGCGGAGAAAGAACTTGTATGCCAAATATAGGCAGTGGCAGCCCTTGGCAGCTGCAGCCAGGCAAAGGACTGAGAGGAGTTCCATCGCGGAGAGTTCGCACAAAATCAGCAGCACTTGAGGAGAAAATCAGCAGCCAGTTGCCCCCAGTCCCTCACTCGATCCAAACTCACATGGCTTGGGAAATTTACTAAAAGAACTTCCTCTGGATGTGCCCCACTTGTGTCTCCCTTCGGGGGCGAATTTGCAATTTGAATTCGTTGTTGCAGACTTGAAGCAAAATAGGTATTATTCCGGACACATCATCAGGACAACGGGATAGACAACGCACTGCTTTTCATTCAGTGTGTTTTTCCTCAACAAGCAAAAAAGGTATATAGTTTTGGGTGGTGTGCAATCACCTAGCAAAGACAGGGACACACATATATATATATAATACACACATGTATATGTATATATATATATATATTGCAGCATATATATATATATATACATACATATATGTATATATCCGCCGACCCCGGCCTTCGCCAAGGCAGGGGCGGCGCCTGGGACCACCGGAGGTGTGGAACCTGCTTTGTCACGGCCATGGCCTTCACGTTGTCCAAGGCTTCCACCAAGCCCTGTGGCTGAACCTGCCGTTTGGTGCACACAGCCTCTGTTGTTAGGGCGTTCTGCTGTTCCAGCGTCGCGGCCGCAGCAATGGCTTCTTATAGGCGTTCAAGGCTGCCGTTTGACAGGCTTCAAACCCCTAAACGGAGGTGTGGAACCTGCTTTGTCACGGCCATGGCCTTCACGTTGTCCAAGGCTTCCACCAAGCCCTGTGGCTGTAAGCTTCTGCTGTTCCAGCGTTGCAACCTGCCGTTTGGTGCACACAGCCTCTGTTGTTAGGGCGTTCTGCTGTTCCAGCGTCGCGGCCGCAGCAATGGCTTCTTATAGGCGTTCAAGGCTGCCGTTTGACAGGCTTCAAACCCCTAAAATGTCTCGCCGGCCGTTTGCAATGCTTCGAATACTCGCCGTCAGCCCCTGTGCTGTTCCAGCGTTGCAGCCTGCCGTTTGCCTGCACAGAGCCCAACACGCGCCACTCCCGCATGCACAACGCCCAACTTTGCAGGCAAACGGTACCCCAACAAGCCCAACAGGCGCCACGCCCGCAGGCAAAAGCCACCACAAGGCCACAGCAATGGCTCAAGGCATCCCCGCGGCCGCAGCAATGGCTTCTTATAGGCGTTCAAGGCTGCCGTTTGACAGGCTTCAAACCCCTAAAATGCTTCGCCGGCCGTTTGCAATGCTTCCAATACTCGGCCGGCCGGTTGCACCAAGCCCTGTAGCCGTCAGCCCCTGCTGTTCCAGCGTCGCGGCCGCAGCAATGGCTTCTTATAGGCGTTCAAGGCTGCCGTTTGACAGGCTTCAAACCCCTAAAATGCCTCGCCGGCCGTTTGCAATGCTTCCAATACTCCGCCGGCCGGTTGCACCAAGCCCTGTAGCCGTCAGCCCCTGCTGTTCCAGCGTTGCAGCCTGCCGTTTGCCTGCACAGAGCCCAACACGCGCCACTCCCGCATGCACAACGCCCAACTTCGCAGGCAAACGGTACCCTAACAAGCCCAACAGGCGCCACGCCCGCAGGCAAAAGCCACCACAAGGCCACAGCAATGGCTCAAGGCATCCCCCCGGCCGCAGCAATGGCTTCTTATAGGCGTTCAAGGCTGCCGTTTGACAGGCTTCAAACCCCTAAAATGCCTCGCCGGCCGTTTGCAAGCTTCCAATACTCGGCCGGCCGGTTGCAAAGCCCTGTAGCCGTCAGCCCCTGCTGTTCCAGCGTCGCGGCCGCAGCAATGGCTTCTTATAGGCGTTCAAGGCTGCCGTTTGACAGGCTTCAAACCCCTAAAATGCCTCGCCGGCCGTTTGCAATGCTTCCAATACTCCGCCGGCCGGTTGCACCAAGCCCTGTAGCCGTCAGCCCCTGCTGTTCCAGCGTTGCAGCCTGCCGTTTGCCTGCACAGAGCCCAACACGCGCCACTCCCGCATGCACAACGCCCAACTTCGCAGGCAAACGGTACCCCAACAAGCCCAACAGGCGCCACGCCCGCAGGCAAAAGCCACCACAAGGCCACAGCAATGGCTCAAGGCATCCCCCCGGCCGCAGCAATGGCTTCTTATAGGCGTTCAAGGCTGCCGTTTGACAGGCTTCAAACCCCTAAAATGCCTCGCCGGCCGTTTGCAATGCTTCCAATACTCGCCGTCAGCCTGTGCTGTTCCAGCGTTGCAGCCTGCCGTTTGCCTGCACAGAGCCCAACACGCGCCACTCCCGCACGCACAACGCCCAACTTCGCAGGCAAACGGTATACCCCAACAAGCGCAACAGGCGCCACGCCCGCAGGCAAAAGCCACCACAAGGCCAAGGCATCCCCGCGGCCGCAGCAATGGCTTCTTATAGGCGTTCAAGGCTGCCGTTTGACAGGCTTCAAACTTCAAACCCCTAAAATGCCTCGCCGGCCGTTTGCAATGCTTCCAATACTCGGCCGGCCGGTTGCACCAAGCCCAAGGCCACAGCAATGGCTCAAGGCATCCCCCCGGCCACAGCAATGGCTTCTTATAGGCGTTCAAGGCTGCCGTTTGACAGGCTTCAAACCCCTAAAATGCTTCGCCGGCCGTTTGCAATGCTTCCAATACTCGGCCGGCCGGTTGCACCAAGCCCTGTAGCCGTCAGCCCCTGCTGTTCCAGCGTCGCGGCCGCAGCAATGGCTTCTTATAGGCGTTCAAGCCTGCCGTTTGACAGGCTTCAAACCCCTAAAATGCCTCGCCGGCCGTTTGCAATGCTTCCAATACTCCGCCGGCCGGTTGCACCAAGCCCTGTAGCCGTCAGCCCCTGCTGTTCCAGCGTTGCAGCCTGCCGTTTGCCTGCACAGAGCCCAACACGCGCCACTCCCGCATGCACAACGCCCAACTTCGCAGGCAAACGGTACCCTAACAAGCCCAACAGGCGCCACGCCCGCAGGCAAAAGCCACCACAAGGCCACAGCAATGGCTCAAGGCATCCCCCCGGCCGCAGCAATGGCTTCTTATAGGCGTTCAAGGCTGCCGTTTGACAGGCTTCAAACCCCTAAAATGCCTCGCCGGCCGTTTGCAATGCTTCCAATCCTCGCCGTCAGCCTGTGCTGTTCCAGCGTTGCAGCCTGCCGTTTGCCTGCACAGAGCCCAACACGCGCCACTCCCGCATGCACAACGCCCAACTTCGCAGGCAAACGGTACCCCAACAAGCCAAACAGGCGCCACGCCCGCAGGCAAAAGCCACCACAAGGCCACACTCCGCACGCACAACGCCCAACTTCGCAGCAAACGGTACCCCAACAAGCGCAACAGGCGCCACGCCCGCAGGCAAAAGCCACCAGCAAGGCCAGCATGGCTAAGGCATCCCCCGGCGGCCGAGCAATGGCTTCTTATAGGCGTTCAAGGCTGCCGTTTGACAGGCTTCAAACCCCTAAAATGCCTCGCCGGCCGTTTGCAATGCTTCCAATAATCTCGGCCGGCCGGTTGCACCAAGCCCTGTAGCCGTCAGCCCCTGCTGTTCCAGCGTCGCGGCCGCAGCAATGGCTTCTTATAGGCGTTCAAGGCTGCCGTTTGACAGGCTTCAAACCCCTAAAATGCCTCGCCGGCCGTTTGCAATGCTTCCAATACTCCGCCGGCCGGTTGCACCAAGCCCTGTAGCCGTCAGCCCCTGCTGTTCCAGGCGCGTGTTGGGCTCTGTGCAGGCAAACGGCAGGCTGCAACGCTGGAACAGCACAGGCTGACGGCGAGGATTGGAAGCATTGCAAACGGCCGGCGAGGCATTTTAGGGGTTTGAAGCCTGTCAAACGGCAGCCTTGAACGCCTATAAGAAGCCATTGCTGCGGCCGGGGGAATGCCTTGAGCCATTGCTGTGGCCTTGTGGTGGCTTTTGCCTGCGGGCGTGGCGCCTGTTGGGCTTGTTGGGGTACCGTTTGCCTGCGAAGTTGGGCGTTGTGCATGCGGGAGTGGCGCGTGTTGGGCTCTGTGCAGGCAAACGGCAGGCTTGAACGCCTATAAGAAGCCATTGCTGTGGCCGGGGGGATGCCTTGAGCCATTGCTGCGTTGCAGCCTGCCGTTCGCCTGCACAGAGCCCAACACGCGCCACTCCCGCATACACAACGCCCAACTTCGCAGGCAAACGGTACCCCAACAAGCCCAACAGGGCGCCACGCCCGCAGGCAAAAGCCACCACAAGGCCACAGCAATGGCTCAAGGCATCCCCCCGGCCGCAGCAATGGCTTCTTATAGGCGTTCAAGGCTGCCGTTTGACAGGCTTCAAACCCCTAAAATGCCTCGCCGGCCGTTTGCAATGCTTCCAATACTCGGCCGGCCGGTTGCACCAAGCCCTGTAGCCGTCAGCCCCTGCTGTTCCAGCGTCGCGGCCGCAGCAATGGCTTCTTATAGGCGTTCAAGGCTGCCGTTTGACAGGCTTCAAACCCCTAAAATGCCTCGCCGGCCGTTTGCAATGCTTCCAATACTCCGCCGGCCGGTTGCACCAAGCCCTGTAGCCGTCAGCCTCTGCTGTTCCAGCGTTGCAGCCTGCCGTTTGCCTGCACAGAGCCCAACACGCGCCACTCCCGCATACACAACGCCCAACTTCGCAGGCAAACGGTACCCCAACAAGCCCAACAGGCGCCACGCCCGCAGGCAAAAGCCACCACAAGGCCACAGCAATGGCTCAAGGCATCCCCCCGGCCGCAGCAATGGCTTCTTATAGGCGTTCAAGGCTGCCGTTTGACAGGCTTCAAACCCCTAAAATGCCTCGCCGGCCGTTTGCAATGCTTCCAATCCTCGCCGTCAGCCCCTGCTGTTCCAGCGTTGCAGCCTGCCGTTTGCCTGCACAGAGCCCAACACGCGCCACTCCCGCACGCACAGGCAAACGGTACCCCAACAAGCGCAACAGGCGCCACGCCCGCAGGCAAAAGCCACCACAAGGCCACAGCAATGGCTCAAGGCATCCCCCCGGCCGCAGCAATGGCTTGTTATAGGCGTTCAAGGCTGCCGTTTGACAGGCTTCAAACCCTTAAAACCCTTAAAATGCCTCGCCGGCCGTTTGCCTGCATAGCGCTCTGTCGTTAGGGCGTCCATGCCTCGGGCACGCCCGCAGGCAAAAGCCACCACAAGGCCACAGCAATGGCTCAAGGCATCCCCCCGGCCGCAGCAATGGCTTCTTATAGGCGTTCAAGGCTGCCGTTTGACAGGCTCCAAACCCTTAAAACGCTTAAAATGCCTCGCCGGCCGTTTGCCTGCATAGCGCTCTGTTGTTCAGGCGTCCATGCCTCGGGCGCCTCGCGGCAGCTTCCTCGCGGCAGCTTCCACCAAGCTTTGTGGCCGTCAGCCGTTGCTGTTCCAGCGTTGCAACCTGCTGTTTGCCTGCACATAGCGTCTGTTGTTAGGGTGTTCAAGCCTGCCGTTTGCCAGCGTTCAAACCCTTCCTCCCTCCCGGCCGCTTCCACCACACCGTCTGGCGGTAAGCCTTTGCTGTTCCAGCGTTGCAGCCAGCCTTCCAATCGTCAAAACTTTCAAAATCCTTGGGAGGCTTCCACCAGACACTCTGGCCGCAGGCATTTGTTGGGGGACTGTTGCCGCCCGCGGTTTGCTTCCATCGCGTCTGTTGTTCCTGCGTACATTCCTTCCGTTTGCCAGCTTTCACACCTCTCAAATGCTTCGCGGCAAAGGTTTTGCCATTGCCATCTGTTCCTACGGCAAGCGCAGCTTCTTTCTATTTCACTTCCTTTTTTTCTTTGCCTCTTTGTCGGGAACATGCCAATGTTTCATCTGGCATCGTTTTCCCGACGGCGTGACATGCGTCACCGCAATGCGCCCACATGACTGCGATGACCAAACAACCGTTGAGCACACCGGGCAACTGTGCGCATGACACCGTGTTTTCTTGCTGACCGCACCGTCCTTCACATAAAATCGGTTCCCGCAGACTGTTCGATGGTTGATTTGCCCTGTCCTGATATCGCTTCTCACACTTTCTCTGCAAAATGGACACCTGTAAACGATGCCTTTCTCTGTCACAACGCCATCCTGAACAGACAATTTGTTCCCACAGACTGTTCGATGGTCTATTTGCCCTGTTGCCTCGTTACTGGCCACATGCCCATTGCAGGTGGGACAAACGTAGTCATACTGTTTCGCACAGGGGCGTCCTTCCCTGACTCGGAAAAAGTTACCGCATGTGCGGCGGTGATTTACTTGGCCTGTTCGTACGGTACTGCTTACAGACTGATTGCAATGCGGGCACACGTACTGGAAAATCTTGCCCTTGGCCATGGCTTCTGCTGCCTTTCTTGGCCGCACCGCCCTCGGCCGTTCGTTGCTGTCGTCCTGTTGGCCATGTACCTCTGCAGGCCCCTCTGTGGTCATTTCTGTTCCGTTCTCTTGTCTGCGCTGTTTTGGCTTCGGCTCTGCTTCCTTCCTTTGGGGGCTCTCCTGTTCCCTCTTCCGTTTTCGTTCCGCGATGGCATCCCAGACATCGGCGATGGCGCGTGCCTTTTTTTCTTCCGCTGCCCTTCTCGCCACTTTCGCCTGCGTTGCCGCTACCCGCTGTACCGCTTTGCTGATGCTTCCCCGGGGAATGGGGCACTGCCAGCAGTTGCTACAGACTTGGTCACCATACAAGAACGATGTTGCGCCAGCCAAGATTCAAAAGCGCATGCTGCTTGCTTTACCTTGCAGACGCTGCATCTCCACCAGCCCCATGCTTTACTCGAACAATCTAGACACACTCTACCGCCCCTGCGTGCTCGTTTCCAGGCCCCGCCAGAAAATTTCTTTTCGTCCTTGCGTGTATTGCAACCACTACACACTTGTGTCTGTTCGCACGTCTTACAAATACGATAAAATGTGGCTTGTGGCCTTGCATGTTCTGTCTTGAATGCATCTTCCTGTTTCCACGCCGTGCAGGCCATGCATTGCCACGGCTGCTGCGCTTCAACGTGCCTACGAATGCATTCCTTGCATACTCTCGCCGCATCTGCTCGTTTCCATCGACCAGCCGTGAATGCAGACGCCGGCTTTGCTTCATTGCATTCTTTGCATTGTCTTTCGTCTCGGTATTTCGCTCGCAGCGCCCTCCAATCCATTTTTTCACCACCCCAGAACCGCAACAGCAATTCCCGCCCTACTTTTGCCCCTTTTTGAAATGGTGCTGCAGGGAACGGTCGGTACACAAACAAACCATACCTGTCTTGGACTCGCGTTAATGCAATGTAAGCTGTCAATGGGTCGCCTGCTTCCCCAATGTGCATGTCCATGACAACGCCTTCTTTGCACGTTTGCCCTTGGGCTGCGTGGGCGGTGGCGGCAAACCCTGGAGCCAATGGAAACTGCTTCCGCGTGACACGGAGTACTGGCCGCTTCCGCCCCTTGTCCAGATACCACGGTTTCTTTCGCGGCGCTACGGGAAAAACGTTGTCTTCATCAATCCCTTCAAGGCTACCATTTGCGAGCCTCCCAACCCCTTACACACTGTCTTCTTGGGGCTGCAAGCGTGCCAGCCTTCAAACCCCTAAACGCTCCCCAGCAGCCCTACACAGTGTTTTGCTGAAGCTTCTACTTAAAACTCCCGGTTGCCAGCCTTCAAACGCGTCAACCCTCCGCAGCGGCCTTACACGCTCTATTCTTGGGGCGTTCCGCCGTTTGCCGACCTCCGGACGCGTACTGTTCGCAGCCGCACTACACATTCTGTCGTTGGGGGTTCACGAGTGCCGTTTGCCAGCCTTCAGACCTTTATTCAAACCGTTAAACCCTCCGCAGCGGCTCTACACACTGTCTTGTTGAGGCTTCAAGACCACCGTTTCCTAGCCTTCGATCCCTAGCCACACTGCCTTGTTGGTGCTTCAAAGGGGGGTCGGCGGCACCCGGGCGATAGCCCATTCTATATACATACATTGACATCGCAGCAAGGTGAAGCAGTTTCACATTGAATGCAGGGGACCGAAACATACAACAACTTCAGCAAATCCAGTACAGTTGACCTATATAGAGCCAGATTCAACAAAATGCTTTGGAAACAATCACAAAGGATCATGCCCAAGCAACATCATCCAACATCATCCAACATGGACTTCTTGAAAATTGGATACCCCATTCATCCACATTAGTCATTAGTTTTAAATTCATCATGTTCCTCTATCTGTTGGCACTGTACCACTGCAAACCCCATCATCCAACAGCATCCAAACTTGCTCCAGTATGCTGCCTCCTTAGCCACCTCCTCAAACAGTTCCATCAACTTCTCCGGAACTTCCAGCGACACAGTACTGGACACCGGCCGCAAGGCCGCCTTCCAAACGTAGGCAACTCCCCAATTTGGAGGGTTGGAATAGATATTTGATGATATTTGATGATATTTGAAACCACCAATGAATCGACGGAGTTCATTCTTCTTTGAAGAACTCCGTTTTTGGACCTTCATTTCTCCACCTGAACCGGTGACCTTCCTGAACTGAACCCCTCCTCTGCGACAGCTCGTGTCTCTGCCTAAGGAGTCAGGTGGATAAACGAATCCTGGCTGGGAAAAGTTACGAAAGAAGATTGGACAAGTGGTACTAATATGGGCAAACCCCTCAGTTTGCCCGCGCCGATGCAGACGACATGTCCGAACATAAAAAACACAGCGTTTTGTGGGACAAAATGTACATGTCCATGATCATGGCTTTCATCTTGCAACGCACAGCTTAGCTACCTGTGCGTTGAATGTTACAACAACAACATCATCAACATCATCATCATCATAATAATAATAATAATATATAATTTATAATACTAATAATAATAATTTTCATCTTCATCTTCATCATTATATTCCTAATCCCCTTGTTGATCTTCCCAATTGAATGTAAAGTTTAACGGGGTTGGGAATTTATATTTCTAATCCCCTTGTTGATCTTCCCAATTGAATGTAATGTTCAACGGGGGTGGGAATTTATATTCCTAATCCCCTTGTTGATCTTCCCAATTGAATGTAAAGTTTAACGGGGGTGGGAATTTATATTCCTAATCCCCTTGTTGATCTTCCCAATTGAATGTAAAGTTTAACGGGGGTGGGAAATTACATTCCTAATACCCTTGTTGATCTTCCCAATTGAATGTAAAGTTTAACGGTGGTCGGAATTTATATTCCTTCAAAATCCCTAAGAAGTTGTGTGGGCGAACTGGGGGCTTTGCGCGTACTAATACAATTTGATACATACTTTTGTTCATCTTCAATGCTTCTATCAGGCTTTACGTGAATCTATTTGGTCTCAACCTGGGGGTGCTTTGCGGTGTATCTATCCGCTTCAAAAGCAAGTAGGACTCTCGACTTAGACTTGGAAACTAATGAAGGACCTACCACACTTGTGACTACAATCTTGCTGCTTCCAAGGAAAGCATTTCCCGAATCAGTGAATCCTCAGTTCAGAATTTTTCCATGCTTTTCGGCAGAAGCTAGCCCCCTACCACAGTTTCTACTTCCAGAAGTTTATACTTCCAAAAGTTTTTCGATGCTTTTCTTTTTAGAAGGAACATATTTCACTTTGGCCACAACATGTCGCAATGATGAGCATGTTTATAGGTAGACAAGGAGGGCCCATGCTCAGCTGCACAACTGGCTGTCAATGGGAGAGAACAACCTGGTAAGGACCAAGTGCCAAACTCGAGGTTGCAGTTGGCGTACACCGCGAGTCTGGCAAGTGAAGTCACCGTCCAACTATTCAAATGAAATCGGGGACGGGACAATTCTTCTCCTTTGCTGGTCTATTCTATGCATCTGTGGGATTCTCAGGAGGATACATTGGCTTGATGGTTTAAATCTTCACAGTCGTGAGGAATGCCAGCTCCTGCAAGCTTAGGTGGAAAACCTCGAACCTCTGAGACGGGAAGTTGTCAACCTTGACAACATTCTCACACGCATGCCAAGAAGCTACCCCCGTCCTTTCCAAGTAAACAACAGCGGAGGTTCATATTCAACAAACTCATGCCTTCTTGTGGGACAGTGACCCAATGTGACCCAAGACATGGCACGGTCTGGATGTTGAATAGTTAAGGGTTAAGGGGAACTCCCCAAGTGGTCAAAGATATATTGTCCAGCTCCCCAAACTGTGTGTTGGTGGAGCATCAGGCGCTTTGTTCGAAGCTCCTGAGTTGAATCACATCTCCGCTTTCAGTGACTATTCTCAAATATTGACAAACAACACATCTTTAGCTAAGTATTTACACGCATATTAATGTATATGCAAATATACATACACATGCATATACAGTATGCATAGTTATATGTATATAATATAATTATATATATGATATATGTAAATATATATATATACATATACACATACGCCAATTACACCCCATTTATAACCCATTTATAGCAACAAAGAATGAGTCAGTTACCTGGCTGATGGCCCGTTGGAGGGATGAAGTTGTCTCCGAAGCCTGGCAGTTTTGTTTGGACAGCAGCTGTAATCTCCAGCAACAGATCGAACATGATGCGCATAGACTGCATATAAAGAATGTGTGTATATATATATGTATACATATATACATGAAACAATAATGTAAAATACATGCTGTATAATGCTGTATACTGTATATCTGTATAATGTATATACGTATGCATGTGTATGACATCATAATACAGATTTTGCATATGTGATCAATTGTGATCACGTGTACATTGTATACATATCCGAAACATTTTTAAATCTCCAGAACAGGGAACTCGCACACACACACACACACATTTTGCCAACCCCTTCGCTGCCACACATGCGGCAAAAAGTTCTCCCACTGCAGAAGCACGTGCAACGTCCTGGTTTCATGTCATCACGCCCTCGAAATCTGGTCATTGTGTCAGAACGCAATTTTGCTGACATGAGGGAACCCCAACCTGACGTTCCAACTTGAGGTGGATGTGCTTCATGAACTAGTTCGATATCTCAGCAAAGAGCCATGTTGAGCCTAGGGCAAAGTTGCCTCCCTTATGTCGTTGCTTCAGCAGACCTACAGCAAACGCTACCCAGAGCTGACCAATCTGAAGCCGCCAACTGAGCTACGCAATCTACGCAGATTGCACTTTGCCTGCGCAGCCCATCGCAAACAAGCCACGCTGCCACAGGAGCAAAATCAAACAGCCCACAGTGCCAATGGCAGTGACAAGAAGGTGATGCTGAATCCAGTAAATATAGAAATACAAGTTTCGGTTGTACAGGGTACTGACAGACCAGGGAGTGTCCAACGCTTTTGCTTCTGGGCAGCTCTGCAGAAGCTTCTTGGAGTCTCCAAATTGAAGCGAGGATGGCTGATGCACTCCAAATGGAGTACCTTGGTGGCAGAATGTCATCCAGATTTGCCGCTGGTGATAAATGAAAAAACTACAAATCAGCTTGGAAGGTGTGAAACATCAGCTAGTGCTTTGGGCCCCTCCCCTATGCAAGAACTACCATAAACACACTGCTGATCATTTCTTGAAGCCAAAGAACCCACTGACTCTTCATAGACTCGGTCGGTGGAAAAGCGTTGAGCCAGTTCAACGGGAGCTACTCGAAACCTCTTTGATCGATTTATTCCGATGGTGAAATATAAATCTTCCGGCACACTCCAGGCAGCTTTGTTTTCTATTAATTCTAACATGGCCTGCCGGCGGTGCAAGGATAAGCCACCATTTCCAACTTTGCCCTCGGGCCAGGGGGCACCTATGTAATCATATTCCAAAAAGTCATCCACAGAGTAGGGGGACCCAGCGCAGAGGATGGAATCGCTTTGGAAGATCAAGACGTGCTCAGCCCGGCTGCATGACCAAAAGGCTCTAGTCCTCAGTAAGCAGTTGTAAGCGCCACGAGAAAGCTCGTAAGTTTCATCCTGGAAGAGTTTGCTCACGTTTTGCAGCGTTATCAGGTGTATCTGTCCGGTCTTTTGCAATCTCTCCACCACAGGAAGACTCTGCACATACATGGAATTCTCGTCTCCATGCATCAGGTATAGAGTCCAGTCTGGCAAGATGCCCGCCAGGTTAGCTAAGACCAAAGGAAGCTTGTTGTGTTTGCGGGTCTCAACGATAAAGGCAGCATTGCTTCCATCCGTGGAGAAATTCTCACACTGCTCTTGTAGCAGAGCCGTAAACAGAGGCTGCGCCTTTCCACATGCCTTGCTCAACAGATCATTTAATCTTAATTTTGTAGTGTCCTTTGGAAACATGTTGCTGTGGAGGGATAGGAAGAAAAGAACTGCAATCGCAAGCAGAACTACAGCCATCCTCCATCCCAGACATCCCAGCAGTCTCATTTCAAGCTGCTTTCATCCTCCTTGGCAACAGCGCAACAGCATGGAGTCATAGCCCTGCTCACGTGACATGGCCAATATATAGCCGTGTTTGATTGTGTTTGTACAATTGCGTGGCATCTGACTTTCAAACACTGCATCAGGGCACTAGCGCCATGGTTGAAATGATGTTGATTTTGCAGTAAAGGCACAATGCCATCAAAGAGACTTCTAGTTGTTCAACTTCAGACTTCAACATGCTCGTAGACCCTGAGCCAAATCATGGCTATTTTACGAACAGGAGCAGGACTCCCACCGGCGAACCCCAAACATGGGATTGTCATCTCAAACAGCTTTGGATCCCAAACAACTGAACATATAGAACGCCTTGAAACTTAAACTAAATGGGCAACACACATACTCACCTAATGTACACCTGGATAAATATAGAACTATATACACCATTGTAAATTGTCCTGTAAAATCAAAAAATGTCTGGACTCCATGACTCCAGGGTGTCACCACAGCTCCAGCCCTCCGCACCGACGCTGCGTGAAGAAGCAGCTCCTCCACGGCATCGACTAACACCTGATTTCTGGGTGATTTCCAGTCGACAAAATATCGATCAAATATGATCGAACGGGATCATGATCTCAGGGATGATAATCTAACGTGATCCATATACATGGATATACATATACGTGGATTATATATATATGTGATCATATGTATACACATGTATATATATATATTATGTCATAATTCAAAATCACCAAATTTGAGTCACCATGATCCTCTCAATGTTTACCTTGGAAACCACTTAGAAGTGGGAATGCGGCGGCGTTGTAGCATTCAATTGGGGTTGTCGCAGTGCTTTCAATGTGTGGCCAGATGGAAATGTTTCTATTCACCAAGGAGTTGGAGGTCAGATTTGGTCAAAATCTCAATCAATTCATCTGTGGCAAGCGTGAAATCTTACCCAGAAATTCAGGAAAACACATGCGGCTATGTCTCAAATTGTCAAAATTTTATAAGATCACATAAATCATAAATCGATGTTTTGATGTTTTGCACCCAGCAAAACCACAAAGGCGAAGGGAGGCCGTTTTTTGCATCTGCATCTTGGGTTCCAAGGCTGAGTATTCGCTATCACCCAGCCCCATGACCTCAGCGTTGCCATGGATTTCTATGGTTTCTTGGGCATCAGAACCACAGATTGCGCTCCATCCAGTCCCAAACTTCAGGAAATAAACCCGATAAACCAAAAAGAACCTATCTTAGGGCCCCACATTGTATACTTCTGTTGAGGCCCCGGCTTTGAGTCTCAGAACCGACTCTACGATCTGTGCTGCGCGCGACATCGTTCCAGCATGTCGAGCTACCTGCAGAAGCACGACAGGAACAAACACAGGGTGTGTCCCACGTATGGGGACTGTGAATCCTTTTTGAACAATGGGGGATTGAATCCATGAAACAATTCTGATAAAAAACAAATTATAGGACCGGATAACCCCACATGTTAACAGCTTCTCCAGACTTAGACTGAGCACAGAAGAGCAACAAGGGAAGAGGAAGTATGAGAGTGATGGAGGGGTGATGGTGGGTGAGTTTGTGTGTGTGTGTATGTATGTATGTATGTATGTATGTGCGTATGTGCATGTACAGGTGTGTCACTTTGGTAGTGTGTTAACGACATGTGTACCGGGTGTAAGAGGCAGTTTGTCAGTGAGAAAGAGTGAGTGAGTGTGAGTGAGTGAGTGAGTGAGTGGGTGGGTGGGTGGGTGAGTGAGTGAGTGAGTGTGTGTGTGAGTGAGTGAGTGAGTGAGTGTGAGAGAGTCAGTGAGTGTGAGAGAGTCAGTGAGTGTGAGTGAGTGTGAGTGAGTGAGTGAATTGAGTGAGTTGAGTGAGTGAGTGATTGAGTGATTGAGTAGAGGGACTGACTGACTGACTAAGTGAGTGAGTGAGTGAATGAGTGAGTGAGTGAGTGAGTGAGAGAGTGAGAGTGAGTGAGTTGAGTTGAGTTGAGTTGAGTTGAGTTGAGTGAGTGAGTGTGTGTGTGTGAGTGAGAGTGAGAGTGAGAGTGAGAGTGAGAGTGAGAGTGAGAGTGAGAGTGAGAGTGAGAGTGAGAGTGAGAGTGAGAGTGAGAGTGAGTGAGTGAGTGAGTGAGAGTGAGTGAGTGAGTGAGAGTGAGTGAATGAGTGAGTGAGTGAGTGAGTGAGAGTGAGTGAGAGTGAGTGAGTGAGTGAGAGTGAGTGAATGAGTGAGTGAGTGAGTGTGAGTGAGTGTGAGTGAGTGAGTGTGAGTGAGTGTGAGTGTGTGTGTGAGTGAGTGAGTGAGTGAGTGAGTGTGTGTGTGTGAGTGTGTGTGTGTGAGTGTGTGTGATGAGTGAGTGATGTGTGTGAGTAAGTGGGAGGACGGGAGGATGAGTAGGAGGACGGGAGGAGGATTAGGAAGAGGAGGGCGTACATCCGACCCCTTGGCAGTGCACATTGTCCCACGCCTGCCACGCAAAAGCAGCGGAGCCCAAGGGACACCGGAGGGACGCCAGGGCGTACATCCGACCCCTTAGCAGTGCACATTGTCCCACGCCTGCCACGCAAAAGCAGCGGAGCCCAAGGGACACCGGAGGGACGCCAGGGCGTACATCCGATCCCTTGGCAGTGCACATTGCCCCACGCCTGCCACGCAAAAGCAGCGGAGCCCAAGGGACACCGGAGGGACGCCAGCGCGTACATCCGACCCCTTGGCAGTGCACATTGTCCCACGCCTGCCACGCAAAAGCAGCGGAGCCCAAGGGACACCGGAGGGACGCCAGGGCGTAGATCCGAACAGTGCACATTGTCTCACGCCTGCCACGCAAAAGCAGCGGAGCCCAACAGGGCGTACATCCGACCCCTTAGCAGAGCACATTGTCCCACGCCTGCCACACAAAAGCAGCGGAGCCCAAGGGACACCGGAGGGACGCCAGGGCGTACATTCGACCCCTTGGCAGTGCACATTGTCCCACGCCTGCCACGCAAAAGCAGCGGAGCCCAAGGGACACCGGAGGGACGCCAGGGCGTACATCCGACCCCTTGGCAGCGCACATTGTCCCATGCCTGCCACGCAAAAGAGGGACACGGAGGGACGCCAGGGTGTACATCCGACCCCTTGGCAGTGCACAAGGGGTCGGATGTACGCCATGCACATTGTCCCACACCTGTACATCCGATCCCTTGGCAGTGCACATTGCCCCAGCCCAAGGGACACCGGAGGGACGCCAGGGCGTACATCCGACCCCTTGGCAGTACACATTGTCCCACGCCCGCCACGCAAAAGCGAGAGTGAGTGAGTGAGTGAGTGAGTGAGAGTGAGTGAGTGTGAGTGAGAGTGAGTGAGTGTGAGTGAGAGTGAGTGAGTGTGAGTGAGTGTGAGTGAGTGTGAGTGAGTGTGAGTGAGTGTGAGTGAGTGTGAGTGAGTGTGAGTGAGTGTGAGTTGAGTGTTGAGTGAGTGTGAGTGTGAGTGTGAGTGAGTGTGAGAGTGAAGTGAGTGTGGAGTGAGTGCGTAGTGAGTGTGAGTAGAGTGTGATGGAGTGTGCAAAGTGAGAGTGTGTGAGTGAGTGAGAATGTGTGAGTGAGTGAGAGTGTGTGAGTGAGTGAGAGTGTGTGAGTGAGTGAGAGTGTGTGAGTGAGTGAGAATATGTGAGTGAGTGAGAGTGTGTGAGTGAGTGTGTGAGTGAGTGAGTGTGTGAGTGAGTGAGTGAGTGCACAGAGTGAGTGAGTGAGTGAGTGAGTGAGTGAGAGAGTTTGAGTGAGTGAGTGAGAGTGAGTGAGTGAGTGAGTGAGTGTGAGTGAGTGAGTGAGTTTGAGTGAGTGAGTTTGAGTGAGTGAGTGAGTTTGAGTGAGTGAGTGAGTGAGAGAGTTTGAGTGAGTGAGTGAGTGAGTGAGAGAGTGAGTGAGTGAGTGAGTGAGTGAGTGAGTTGAGTTGAAGTTGAGTTGAGTGAGTTGAAGTTGAAAGTTGATAGTTGAGTGCGTGAGTGCGTGAGTGCGTGAGTGCGTGAGTGCGTGAGTGAGTGAGTGAGTGAGTGAGTGGAGTGAGTGGAGTGAGTGGAGTGAGTGGAGTGAGTGGAGTGAGTGGAGTGAGTGGAGTGAGTGGAGTGAGTGGAGTGATGGAGTGAGTGGAGTGAGTGGAGTGAGTGGAGTGAGTGGAGTGAGTGGAGTGAGTGGAGTGAGTGGAGTGAGTGGAGTGAGTGGAGTGAGTGGAGTGAGTGAGGTGAGTGAGGTGAGTGAGGTGAGTGAGGTGAGTGAGGTGAGTGAGTGAGTGAGTGAGTGAGTGAGTGAGTGAGTGAGTGAGTGAGTGAGTGAGTGAGTGAGTGAGTGAGTGAGTGAGTGAGTGAGTGAGTGAGTGAGTGAGTGAGTGAGTGAGTGAGTGAGTGAGTGAGTGAGTGAGTGAGTGGAGTGAGTGAGTGGAGTGAGTGAGTGGAGTGAGTGAGTGGAGTGAGTGAGTGGAGTGAGTGAGTGGAGTGAGTGAGTGGAGTGAGTGAGTGGAGTGAGTGAGTGGAGTGAGTGGAGTGAGTGGAGTGAGTGGAGTGAGTGGAGTGAGTGGAGTGAGTGGAGTGAGTGGAGTGAGTGGAGTGAGTGGAGTGAGTGGAGTGAGGGGAGTGAGTGGAGTGAGGGGAGTGAGTGGAGTGAGTGGAGTGAGTGGAGTGAGTGGAGTGAGTGGAGTGAGTGGAGTGAGTGGAGTGAGTGGAGTGAGTGGAGTGAGTGGAGTGAGTGGAGTGAGTGGAGTGAGTGGAGTGAGTGGAGTGAGTGGAGTGAGTGGAGTGAGTGAGTGAGTGAGTGAGTGAGTGTGAGAGTGAGAAGTGAGAGTGAGAGTGAGAGTGAGCGTGAGAGTGAGAGTGAGAGTGAGTGAGTGTGAGTGAGTGAGTGAGCGAGTGTGAGTGAGTGTGAAGGAGGAGGACGGGGAGGAGGACGGGAAGGAGGAGGAGGAGGAGGAGGCGCGGATACAGAACTAAAAACAAAAACCCCACACGTCAATGTGGGGAATGATTCAATGATTGTTTGGGCTTCCCTCTTTTTAGACAAACCCATAACAGGCAAACACATGGCTGATAGTCAATAATAGAGGTGGAACTTCAAGAATGGAAAATGATGGAAAGCCAACCTACCTTGCCGCTTCATAGAAACATGAATCCCGACTCGCATATCTCCCACAATTGCCGATTTAAAGACTTCAACCGGAAAATTATGATCAACCATCAATTAATCATGATGATTAACCATCACATCAAATTTCATCAAATATCATCAGTACTCAAACTTCATGAATTTTCAATGGTACCGTTCATCAATTTCATCAAACTACATCAAACGATTTTCAAGCAACAACCATTGAGTTTCACATCTGTCAGTCAGCACCTGCTCCGAGGCGGGCAAGTTCTTGAGCACCGTCTCGAAGCATTTGATGGCTTTGGTGATGAGGGCCTCTTTTCGTATTCCAACATATTTCAACATTGTTTCAGCAGCTGATACTGGCAATGTTGGCCATGAACCAATCGTCTACTTCCAGCTTTGTTCCATTTTCTTCCCATCATGCCTGCGCTCTCTCTCTCTCTCTCTTTGTGAACCATGACTTCACTTCAATATCAGGAAGGATTCCCGGGATTTGCTTGAATCATCTTGAAGCTGTTTTGTCTTTTTTTCCATAGCAGCGCTGTAGTTGCGAAGAAAGTTGCGGGGAAAGCGCAATGCTTGTTCCAAAGAACTCAGATGCGCGTACTTGAAACTGGGCGACCTGAAAGTCCTGTGCTAAACGGCCAACCGGCCGACATCGAGGAAGTGACTTGCAGCTGCCACGCTGCAAGCATCTGTTCTTCCTTCATCTGACAGCATATTTGCAGGGGCCAAGGAATGCAAACAGTATGATTGCTTTCGAAACCTTCGTACCCTCGGTGAACACCAAAATGCACCAAAACAGCTGGTAAATAGATGTTCATCCCCCAGAGACTTCGCTTTGATCCATCCCCAGAAAAGGCAATTTATCATATTTATTGTCATCAAGGAAGAGCAGAGCTGTTTACCTTGATATGCTGGCATGCTGCGCAGACTTGATGTGCATGTTTATTGGCAACAGTCGCGCGGTCAAGTCAGCTCCACCAAAGTCTGGCTGAATTGTATACATAATGTGTATCTATATGTCCAATGTATATAATATATGTATATTATTTCATAAACATAATAATGTATACTTGTATACAAAATCATTCACAAACCTGAAACATCCTGAAACCGTGATTTTGCAGGGTCCGCTTACTAACCATCATCTTTGGTCAGGCCGTATTGAGGTGATTGTAACATATTGTAACCTCAGCCGAAAAAGGTGTCGCGCAAATGATACTTCGATGGCCAACCATGCCCAACCAGCACTCTGAGATGGCAGGTCAAGGGCAGCTTGGTTGCTTTCAGCGCGAGACCGGTAACTGTATCGCCCGTGCCGAGTAGGAACATTTCCAATTCATCGGATTGGGACTCTTCACGATTCCACGAAAAACAGGACCAACTTCTGAGGATGTTTGTGGGTACAAATCTCTGACCTGGCACCAGCAAGCGATCAAATTTCAAGATCGCTGAGAGTCTCAGTCTCTGCAGCTACTCGCGTCCAGAACTTAGCTGCAGAGGATTGTTCTTCCAGAACGTAGCTACTTGTTCTGCGATGGGGAGGCTCAGAGCCCGCTGAGAGTCTCTAGGGACCAAAGCTAGCTTGGCAGGGTGATGGACATGAAACACAGAAGGTAGCGCAAGTGTAAGCACAATTTTTGAGAACATGTGATTGTTGTCTACTGTTGCACGAAGCAAATGAAAACATGCAACATAGACAAGATCATGACAACTGTCGGGAAAATTCACAGGTCCACCTTCGGCACCGGAGTGGACCGTTGGAAGCGCGGGAAGACGTCACGCAGCGCGAGGTGACAGTTTACGAAGACAGGTATATGTGCGCACGCAACATGAACATGGAGCAAGGCCAAGGTTCCATACAGCGTCAAGTGTGAAAAGGGCAAAGTTGTGAGGGTCTAAAGTCAAGTGTATAGTGGAAAGTGTGAAAGCGTAAACCTTAAAGTGGGAGTGCCACGTGTAAAAGTAGAGTGTGGAGTGCCAAGTGTAGAGTGTGAAGTGTAAAGTGTAGAGTGTGGAGTGTGGGGTGTAAAGTGTGAAAAAAGTAGAGTGTAAAGTAAAGTTTAGAGTGTAAATTGTGGCGCGTAAAGTGCGTTAAGAGTTAGTTAAGTGTAAACTGTAGGGTGTGGAGTGTGGCGTGTAAAGTGTGGCGTGTAAGTTTAGAGTGTAAAGTGTGGAGTGTAGCATGCGGAGTGCACAGTGCACAGTGTAGGGGAAATTCAAAGGTCCACCTTCGGCACCGGAGTGGACCGTCGGAAGCACGGGAAGAAGTAACGCAGCGAGCGGCGAAAGTTCAGGACGACAGGTAGATGTGCGTACGCAACATGACAATGGAGCTAGGCCAAGGTTCCATACAGTGTCAAGTGTGAAAAGGGCAAAGTTGTGGGGGTCTAACGTGAAGTGTAAAGTGTAAAGTGTAAAGTGCGAAAGCGTACAGATTAAAGTGTGAGTGCCACGTGTAAACGTAGAGTGGGGAATGCCAAGTGTACAATGTGGGTGCTTAGTGCGGCGTGTAAAGTGTGAAGCGTAAAGTTTAGAGTGTAGAGGATGGAGTGTAAAGTTTAGCGTGTAAAGTGTGGAGTGTAAAGTGCCTTAACAACTAAGTGTAACATGTCGAATGTGGAGTGCAGTGTGTAAGATGCGGAGTTTAAAATTTAGCGTGTAAAGTGTGGACTCCAGAGTGCGAAGTGTAGAGGGTGGATACCAGTGATCGTGCCGGTGCTGTTACTGACCGTGTCCCAGGAGGGGTTGAGCCCACGACCAAACTGATTGTGAAGGAGTGGGGGAGGGGGGGGTAGTTAACTGAGAAATTTCTCGCGATTGGAGATTCCATCACCCCCCAATACCTTGCTAAAGCAAGAGGAACTTCAGCTAGCAGAAGCTAGCTTTCGTGACTACAGCAAAACCAGTATATCGAAACCTCCATGACAAACTCCTCACAAAAACTGTGATGCAACAGATGCTTAGTAGCCCTCTTACGGTCAACTCACACATCGGTTTTGCAGACAGGTTTTGCTGTGTTTATTACACAGGTGCATATGGCAGTTGTCGCAGTATCATGTCTAGTACTCTTCAGTTTCCTTGCTCTTCATCTTCCTCGGCATCCATCATCCGTTCAGAAAGGCAGAAAAGACAACCAACGGCTGAGTTTGATTTCTGCTTGAGTTGAAACACATCCTACCAGGAAACCAATGGAGTACACGATACTGGCGTTGAAACGCCATTGTTTGAGTCATTCAAATGCCACACATGAACGGTGGCAGTGATTTGGCAAATTAAAATACTATCAGAAGCTTTGCGGCAACTTCAAATTCAAGATTGCTGAACTCACATGCAATGGCCCTGCATCCCAACAACAGCCTGGTCATTTTTCAAATTTGAAGAGTTAAATCACGTGACAACTTCGACAGCAAACATAATAACATGATAAAATAACACATGCAGATACAAAATCAATTTCATGATCAAACCCGGGCATGTGATTTCAACTTTTTGAGTACATTAATATTCAAAGCCTCTGAGGCACCGAACAGTTCGTGGCCGTAATCCAACTGAAGTCAATCTGAATAATTACCACAAAACTAAGACCATCCAGGAGACCAAATTTATGAAACAAGACGGTTGCATGAAGTACAGCAGGCCTAAAAAGCAAACAAGGACTCCTGGGGGAGATATAGCTATATTCGAAGGAAGTTTAGAAGTCAAACTTCCGACAATATGGACAGATGAAAAGCAGAGATGGGTAGAGTCAGAGAGAAGAGAAGAGTAATTAGAAGAGAGAAGATCAGAGAAGAGAAAGAGTCAGAAGAAAGAAGATGAAGGCGCGCGAAAAGGTAGGAAAGTCGCGAAACACTGTGTTTTTCCATTGATTTGTGGCTCCAGGGGGTCGAAAAGTAGGCTCGCTAAAGCGGCGGGCGCGGAGCCATCTGGCCAGATGAGAAATGAAAAATTGAACGCCGTTGTGGCGCGAAGCACATTTCCAAGTCAAAATGTACAAAACACCCCATGCTCGGACCACTTTTGGAAGTTGCGATGTCGAAAAAATGCGCGCCGTTGTGGCGCGAAGCACATTTCGAAGTCAAAATGTACAAAACACACCATGCTCGGACAACTTTTGGAAGTTGAGATGTCGAAAAAGTGCACGCCGTTGTGGCGCGAAGCACATTTCGAAGTCAAAATGTACAAAAAACACACCATGCTCGGACCACTTTTGGAAGTTGAGATGTCGAAAAAGTGTACGCCGTTGTGGCGCGAAGCACGTTTCGAAGTCAAAATGTAAAAAGCACTACATGTTCGCGCCACTTTTGGAAGTTCAGATGTGCTTTCGCGTGGCAGGCGCAAGGGATTGTGCACCTTCTCAAAAGTGAGCAAAAACGTGAGGGTTTTGTAATTGTAGCATTTCCAAAAACTATGGCAGGCGTGGGACATTTGAAGAGGATCTGCAAAGATGCATTTTCCGTGGCAGGCGCAGTACAAGAGACATCTTCATCAGAGGTGTTAGGAGGTCCGGGCGGTGATTTCCTGAGAGGGGTTGCATTTTGGAGCATCAAATCTTCAGGTTTGCTGAGATGATTTTGCGTGACAGGTGCAGCACTTCGTATGACCTGGCATCGCTTTTTCGTGGTAGGCGCAGTAGTTTAGACAGATGGACTGGAAAAATCGCAGAACGCATTGGTACGAGGCCGTCAGCTCTGCACGCAACTTTCCATTTTTGAAGGATGTCTCGCAGAATTCTTTCGTTTTTGATGTTGTCAACTTCGAAAAATGAGAAAGTCTCGCAGAATTGCTTCGTTTTTGACGTTGTCAAGTTGAAATATGGAGGCCGTCTCGCAGAATTGCTTCGTTTTTGAATCACTGTTGGAATTTCCCGGCTAACATGGACTCCTGCATTCTTTAGACAAAAAACGGCGGTCCACCTTGCACTACTGAAATGGCACATCTAAAGAATGCCAACCCAGGGATCAAGGGGGTCTAAGACCATCTAAAAAATCATGGCCCAGGCAACCAACTACAAAAAAATACAAAAAAACATAAAAATACAAAAAAATACAAATACAAAGGCAGAACTCTAAAAAATAGGGAGTCCGTGTTAGCCATGTGGATGTCAACCAGTAAAAAACTACCCAATGTGCTCAAATGATTGCTTGTTAGAAAACTGTCCTTGTTAGAAAATGCATGAAAGTTGTTGTCATTGTTGCAACCTGCTTGACTCATCTGTGATGCAAACAGTGGCCGGCGCACAACAGCAGTTTTACCAATTGCAAAAATTCAATCAGCTTGTCTATTCCCTCTCAAAATGCCCTCTCTAA